CAGCCCATTGTCGCGCATGCCAATGCGGGGCAACCTTGTGCAACGTAAGCATCGTGGGGCGACATAAAAATCAACTCGCCCGTGAACTCCTGGAAGCCCTAGCCATCGAAGAAAAAGGCGAGGACTGTGTTAGTGCCCCTTCCGTCGCACTACACAACTCCGAGAAGATTTTCCTGCGGAGTGACATGAGGACCAGGCAAAAGTAGAAGAAGAGGAAGACCGTTTAAGGGAGACAGAAGAAAAGGGATGAGAACATTCCGAAGGCAGAAAGGACAATGCGTTTAAGGAAGAGAAATTCCGAATTAAGCGTAAAGAAAAAGAAAACGTAAATCAAGTGTAAAGAATTAAAAAATCTAAGTGTAAAGAAAAAGGAAACCGGAATCAAGGATTAGCAGAAAAGGAAAAAGAGGAATCATTAAATGTTGCTAGTCCAGCGGTGCGAATGTTATATTTTTTCTCTGTGTGTTTTCCATGTTCAGCTGGCCCCATTCACATGCACAGAGCATTGGGCTCGCGCTAGCTTTGACTTCGCTGGTAGCTAGCGCATGGGAACAGGACGGGCCAACATTAAAAACATCCACAAGCTCGGCCTTTTTTTTTTTAAATAGGCTGCTCAGTGGGATGGTTCTTCGCTTAGCCTCTGCGGCTTTGGTATCAGATGTTGCTAACGTTGTTCCTTTCAATGATGATGATGATAATGCGTCCTCGCAGTTTCGGTTTGCGTAACAGTTGCGGCGCGGAAAATACAGCGGTACCGCCACGCGCTCTGACAAGACTTCAATTTTTAATTTTATTGCTACATCTCATCTCGGCGCAGGAATGGCGCAATATTCTTCAGGAAAATGACAATTTGGCGCTACATGTAGCAGGATTGCGTCCTCGGCGCAATTTGGCGCAATTGGCACAGCACTTCCATCACTGAAATTGGAGGTGCGTTGATTACGGGATGAAAACAAAAGGTCAATATTGATGCCCGTTGTGGGGGGTGCATTTATTATACAAGTGCCTTTATTATGCAAGTAAATACGGTACTACTACCGCGCTACCACTACTCCTCCCTTGAACGTCCTGGTCTAGAGTTAATCTTGCGCACGGTTGCAATCTGTGCTTTAAGCCCTCCGAACAATGCCTCAAAAAGCTTGCTGGAGTTACCGAGAGTGACCCATAATCACGTGCCTACTTCGGAAACGCTTGAAAAGCCACAAGCGAACGTACTGCTCCGATGTTGACAACTAAGTGAAGATGCACTTGCACGGGCGAACAATCGGTAGACAGCTGTATTTGGGTTTAGAAGTTTACACTGCTGTTTCGGTCGCTCGTTACGACAGCATTCGTGCCACTTTCGCCAGTGGTAGCACTTGACAAGAGGAAAATGAATAACAGCATCAGATGGACGCACACTTGTCACGAGTGGTTAGTATGCCGCCACTAGAGTTGCAATCAAGATGCGTAAAGTATGTACTACTCGAAATCCTTTGTTATTATTTGATGATAAAGATTATCTGACAATCGAATAATTAGCTAAAACAGTAAAACTGTGCTGTGTGTTCTGTAAACGCCTTTGTGCACCCGGATGGCTCTCGGAAGTAGCAGAGACCGATAGACGCAGCGGCGGCGTTATCAGTGGGCACTGGCAGACCGCTCTGCACGTGCACGCCGTATATGCCTCGGCGCTTGTTCGTCGAGACCCGATTATCGGACTTTAGAATATGCGAATGCAACGTTGATTGCCAAGAAACGTAAAATCGGATCGACATTTGGCAGATGTTGAGTGTACTTTCCGGGAAATCAGGTTATCCAGAAACGTATGAACCAAAAAAAAAAAGAACAGCGCAACTCTTTGAGACGTTTCCTGTGCCCTCACTCGGGAACGTATGAACCGGGAAATTTTATGAACTGAAAACGTATCAACAAGGTTCTACTGTAGTACCGCCCTGCCCTACACTCGGTGAGGTTACAAGCCCAATGCACGACCATAGTTGGCAGTTCCCTCTTAGCCCCAGTGCTCGTCAAAGATATTTCATACACTCTTTTTTAATAAAAGTTACATTACACCCTGTTGAAGGCATAAATTAATTATCTGTCCTGTCTGTTACTCCAACTTGCAGGGCTGTAGTGTGCAATGTGCAGGCACCGCCTGCGGGTACTACAGCAAAATCTATCCTGAGGTCAACGGTTGATTCTTCTCCGGGGGACTCTCCCATTCTTAGCAACCTCCAGGTTGATGAAGCCGAGTACCAGGGAAGCCCTGGTGCCGCTGACCACCACACGCCGTCTACCTCAAGGGGTTAAACCTAGAGCACACCCGCAGGGTCGTCCAGCCACCCTCCAGGGTGCCCGGTGGAGCCAAGGCCCATGCACTCCAAGCGTAAGGCAGATACAGACAGAGTAGAGCAGGAGCTGTTAAAGCACCTTCGGTGCAAAATAACACAAAACGAAGCTTTTGCTTATTCAGTGGCACAGTCTCTGGACCGCTAGGACGAAAGAAAGAGCCCGGTTCAGAGCTGCTCTAGGGCAGATAGCATACAAGTATGAGTGCAATCATGAGACACTATAAAATGTCTTCTCGACCATTGTGCCTCTGAAAGTGCATATATCTAGTCTTGTTTCATCAATAATATACATCCCCTGCTACACACACTCATTGTTTATAAACAAGCGCGCATGTTTCGAAGAGCAAAGCACTTGCACATGCTTCTTTCCGTAGCCAGCGCCACCACCCTGGTATGACATTGGAGGTGTGTATCAATAGGTCTGTTCGAGCATACATGTTGACAGAGAGTGGTCAGCTACTGCTCCAATGTTGAACTGACCAGAGCAGGTGCAAGATTTTGCAAAACTGGTGCTGAACTTGCGCAGCTCTAGAATTATTCGAACCTATGAGTGGAGCGGCCTTGCAACTTTTGATTGAATTGGATACACCAGTTCCTGCACAGCGTGAACTACTTAAACCAGTTCAGGCGAATCGATGAGACCTAGTGCAACGACTAGATATTTTGAGTACCATTTTTTCCATACAATTCTGCCCCCGTTAGTAAAGAAAGCTGCATTATTGGAGGAAAACAATCCTTGTAAAGCAGTCTGGGGGAATCTGTATTAAGGGGGAAACAACTCTAAAATGCCCATTTTTTTGAAAAAAAAATGAGTTTGTCAAATGTTGCACTTTTGGCACCTCTATTAATGAGCAATATGGCAAAATTTGGTAAACTTTTGTGCCGTAATTACCGAGAAAAAACATCATTAATGCCTCCCTGGTGCTTTAGGGTGGGGTGCGCTGGCGAAAGACACGAGGAAAGCACAATTTTTCCAATTTTCAGTATGGTACCGCGCCGCACCCACGAGGCCTAGCGTGACATTCATACTCTCGTTGGAAAGGTCGTTTCTCGAACGTTTTAGTGAAAATATTAAACACGGGTCGAGCGTATGTGTGCGCCAGAGAACCCCGTCGCAAAAATAAGGAAATTGACAGAACCTGTCTTCCTATTGGTGGGAGAACCGAAACTAGAGTCACGAATGGTTTTTAGCCATCGCGTGTTATCTTTCACGGCGGTTCTTGCTCCAGACCATGTTTTATCATCGGGTCTGCAACATCTCGTCTCAATCTTATCTCATATTTTTTTGTTCCGAAAATGACGCCGAGTAAAGCCTACATGCATTGAAGCTTCGGTAAGTGCTCTCGTTTCACAAAATCGCAAGGCACAACAGGTGGCCGGCATTCTACAGCTCCCGATGCAGCCCCGGCGGCGATGTCGCCCGGACTGTCGCGCCTGTCACGGTCTCTTCATAAAATTGGTTCAGAGGGCTGACACTTTGCATGCCCTCCTTCTATATGGCTACAAACACCACCTGCGAATATCACACCGATTGAGGGAGTGGTTCAAAAGTAGACATGCCCAGGTAATGTCATCCCTTCATATTTCTTTATTCAGTGGACCAAAATCTTTTCAGCTTTGACGCTCAACATTACATAAAGCCACAGACATCTCACCCAATCAGCAGCGGCCATCCGGATCAAATCAGAGCCTTAATGACCACACACATTGGCACACTTAAATATTCATTCTTTCCACAAACCATAAAGGATTGGAACTCCCTTCCCTGTGATAGTGAAAATGGACTCTCTAAACCAATTTTAAAAATAATATGCTCACCTGCATAGCATTTTTTAGTGCATGCTAGACTTTATACTGTAACTATTTTTTGCTCACCAGGTGCCCCTGGTGAGCATATCTGGAAGCTCGCTTCGTGAAATCATAGACCTCAGCGGCCTCGCTCAGCTGCCTTAGAAGATGTGGAAAATCGCCACTTTGTTGGTTTGCTCCGTTCTACTGCATCTACCTGGAGCTTGGTGGCGTGGCCGTTTATTATGGTGACACGCGAAAGCACCAGCAGTAGCAGCAGCAGCAATAGCGGTAGCGATATACCGTAGGACGAGGAGCGCGAGTACCTGCCGACGAAGGGGCGCAAGGTGTTGCCTTAACGCCTGCGACCAATCTGCGACGTCAGACGACAGCGATGAAGCATCACCGAAGCCAGCAGCAGAGTCCTCGCCCAACGTTCTGCCGCGAAATGACGGGCACCGGCTACGTAACACACGCTGGAAAGAACACGCGCACCTGGCACAGCGTATTCCTTGCATGTGCCCGGGAAAGCGATTGTTTTGGGAGTCGTGCAAAGTTGAATTGCAGCCTAGAAAACGATGATAAATGTATATATATATATATATATATATATATATATATATATATATATACACACATCTGATTATCAGGTGCACTAGTGATTGACATGCTCTTTTGGGTATCACCAAGCGGCGGCGAGTAAGCTCTCACCTGAACTTATCAACCTTGACGTTGAGTAAACAACTAGTAGTAGTGGATGACATTCTAAAAAACTTCAAGAGGAAGAATCTCAAACACAAAACCCACAGGATCAAAGACTGCAGTTGAACTAGAACAAGTCTTCATTCTAAGTTTAACATTTGATCTAAAAGAGGGAAAATGGCCGCACCAACGAACTATGCTGATGCCAACATCATAGACTTAGCCAGCACAAACACCACTCCCATAAGAATTGAGGATATCTACGAAAACAAGTACGCCAGCAAGCGGAACGATGCCCTGGCAGCACATCAGATCGAGTGGACCATGTTCGCCATGCTGGTAAAGGGAAAAGACGTGAATGCTGCGGTGAAGTCGGCATCTAAGAGAAACCCACTTGTGCATGTACACGGTGGGTTCATTGTGAACGCCAAGGATCCCAGCCCGAGTGACCTCACGCGGAAGAGACTCTCTGCCTGCCTGCTGTACGACAACTGCAGCAACCTTGACGGAAAGATGCGCCTCTGTTTGCTAACAACTCTCGGTGCTAACAGGCCAAGAAACGCAGGGCTACTCATGCACCTGTCCCACGTAGGCGTGTTAGAACTTGACAATGCACCAGCTGCGTGTGGACTTGATCCTGCACATAGTACCGATACATTGTCCAAGTCCTCACGTGCGCGCTGTATGATCATGTATGTTTCTTGTTTCCTTTCTATTTTATGCATATGTTTCTGCAATATTGGGCTCAGGCTGGGCACTGAAGCCCTTGAGGCATGTAGCCCTCTATGCCTGGGTCAACCCTCCTGGAATATGAATAAGGTATTACTTTTATTATATGAAAAAATGTAGCTGCTGCAATGACCGCATCGCGGTTGTGGATACCCCAGAAGGCAGCTGAAGCTTGAGCAACACATTGGATTAGCAAATGAGAGAAAACGTGTGTAGCCGCACCACAGCCCACTCAGCATTAGTAATGTTGACATATGGACAAATTCATGTTTTCAACTTTGTCAAACAAGTACTGCTGCGATTCCCCCGATGTGGCAGCATGCCCACACCATTAGAAAGCATCTGCTGCAAGGAGCAGTATAAGAACAAAAAAAAAAAAAAAGACTGGGAGCCTTGCGTGCATCACCAAGCAGCATAGGCTCTTTGACCAGTACTGTCTCGACCGGGATGTCCTGGTCCTGGAGTACAAGAAGCCAAGAGTTTGCAAGCCTCTCAGAACTAGGAACATAAAGCAAATAAGTGCATACTTCCAGTAAAACTAAATTACTATACCTTTTACTATGAAATTCTGCACTTTGTAAATAAGGCAGGGATGCAAAGCGAGATGTGAATTGGATGAACCAGAAGAGGCAGTGCCTTGATGACAATTGAAGTTTCAGACACAGGTTTTTATCGGTGGTAAGCAAACCATTTATTACATGCATGCACGCTCGAATATGCACATTCTAATGAAACTACAGCTTGTGGCATCTTACTCCTCGCCATAGCCATCGAACTAAAGACAAAGAAGGCATTCTAGTTCCAAGTGGATACCTGGCAATGTAACTGAACGACTTTATTATTGCAGTAAGTACAGGTACACGGCATATTGCCAATTCAACTGGTGGGTTCACGGGAGGCTGGCAATAGAGAACCGGGTTACCCTGTCCAGCTGCATTGTGACCAGGGTGCGTGAAGAGTTCCCTCCCCCGAGCCCTGTAGACTACACTGGCTTTGTGCAGTCATAATGCTGATTAAGTTGACACATTATACACCCTCAAACTTCTTATATATCTATCTTTTCCCACAAAGCACTTGGGAGAAACAGTTGCTTCAACCTATTCTTGGTGCTGTACAAGTAACGAGGTCCAAAATATCTTAAAACCTAAAGGCGTGACAAATCCACACGCACCAGGGCCTTAGTAACAGCACCGATGTTGGCCGAGGCTCTGCATTGACTTCGCGCCAAATATGATTTGGCTTGAAATCAACAGGGAGCTAATGAACAATTGGGCTGCGCTGCTCGCTCTAGCAGTGTCAAGTCCCGGGGGAGACTAGGCAGGTCACGGAACTATCTAGGGGGTGTTGCCCAGGCCCGTGCGGATAACTCGCTCCAATAAGTCCCCCCCCCCCCCCCCCCAAAAGAAAAAGTTTACACGCTAAAAACAGCCCGCAAAAATCAAAACTTGATGGATAACGTTATAACTGCTTTGTTGTCGTGTTCGCGCAGACAGTGTCGACTTGTATTTGTGATATCAATGAGGTAAAAAGCCCCTTCTCCACTATTTGCAAATCCAAATGAGTTGCGAAATATAGGAATGTGGTTCGGGAGGCATTATACGTGGCGCTAGCTATTCAAGCCCCATATTTTACGGCATCAGGAACAAAGCAGCATAGTAAGAGTGCCCTTCAAACAATAATAGTAATAATTATTAAAAACTGCCGGATCCCCACTGGAAACCTTGAGGCACGGTGCAAGGCCTTTTAAGGCAAGACACTGGTTCTAAAATCGACTTTTTTGTTTATTAATGAATTATAATGAAAATCAGTGTGTATATGTGTTTCGGCTTCCTCTTTTCAAATATTCAATTAGTTCTGCAATATCTCAATTACATTTTGAGTTACGAAGAAAATAATGAAACCTAATTAGGTCATTTCTTACGACTCATGAAGGAACTTTCTAATACAAATTTTTTTGCATAAGTGATATGGATTTGTAGCTAAAGACCTGTCATGCAAGATGATGCTATTTATATTTTTGTAAAAATAGATCATTGTATAAAACTAGTCTAATTAGGTCAAGTACACTATTTACAAAGCCTAACGAGGTCACATTATCACTAATAATAAAATTTCGGGCCCATACTGTCATACAAAAATAGCATCACCCTGCAGTTCACTTCTTTCTGAATTCAACGGTATAAAGTTTATAGAAATCCTTGAAGAATAATCTAATGAAAACAACCGTAAGGCTAGGCATGTAGACGAAAAACGCGAAGCTGAGAAAATTGCAGTTGAAGTTTTGACACTCATTGCATAAAATTTAGTAAGGGATCCCATGCAATAATGTTCAGCAATATGAAGCATAGTTCTATCTGAACAAATTGAGATGAAAAATTCTGCAATCCGTTCACAAGAACCTTTAAAATATAATATAAAACTGAGAAATAATGTCTGCAATGTAAAATCAAGTTATAAAAGTATGAGTAGACTCTATAAGGGACAACGGGAGGAGGCACCAAGGGTTGCACGCTCCGAGAGCAGATTTTGTTTGGCCCTGAAAAGGGCCTTTGTTCGTGTAGCACTTGAAAGGGGAGCCCCTCACAGCCGTCCAGGACTGTAGTCCCCAGCTGTTCCAGTTTGGTGTTGCCTGGAGAACCTCTGCTTTGCATTGCTGCTGCTCTGGTGGGCAGCGTTGGCCTTACGCAAACGCAGATTGTCCTTCTCCATGCTTGGAGAGCTTTCATGTCCACTACAATGAACTGTGTCCCAGCGTCGCGCGTCTGGCCTCCTGTGGTGACGCCGAGAAGGTCGAATTTGCGCTGGGTCGCCGACTTTTCCGATAGCGCACGCTTGCATTCGTCCGATCGTGCGACTCGTTGCGCCTGCTCGGCCGTGGAGTAGTATGCGGTGTCGGCACGAACCGCGCTCGCAAAGCTCGACAAACTGCCGCTGCTGCATAGAGTCGCGATGTCTCCGGCTGATGTTTCCGGAAGATCCAAGGCATCCGGCGGTGCCGATCGCGGTGGCGCACTTGCAGCAGACAGCTTCGGCTTTTTGTTCCACGGTCGCTTCCTCTTCCTTCCGAACGCTTGCCGCGTGCTCGATTTCAACCGAGCGTCGTCCGGCATCTCGAGAACTCGAAGCGAAACAAAACAAAACACGCGCGACTTCGTAGGAAAACAAACCAACAATGTTTAACGCAAGCGCGCAAACGGGAACTAAAACGTGCGCTCGACCACGGAGGAAACAAAGCAGACAGGCCTAAGGAGACGGGCGGAGACGGGCCCAGGAGCAGACGACGCACCTCTCGCCAGCGCGGGAACGGAAAGGAGGAAAGGAGAAAAAGAGCGGAGGGGCGCGTTTAGGCCAATAGCAGGGGCGCTAGGCGCCGCGCGTGCTCTGACGTACGGGCACCTTGCTAGCCGGCCAATGAGCGATCGCAGTTGGGGCCTTCGAAACCCGCGGAATGCGGACGTTCCCCGATGTTGTCGCGATAACGAATGGCATGGGGACGTGGGGAAAATAAGCGGCTTTCCAACAAGACCAAGATGGCCGCGATCCGACGAGCGATCGCGAAACGCGCGGGGCGCGAAGTTCCACTTGTTTTCATTGAACTCGCTGTGCCAGGGCTCTGCGGGGACATGGTAAATATCATTTTTTTCATGCTTAGACATTGAATTCGACATTGAAACTTTGCAGGCAGGTACCTTAGACTACAATTAATCCAAATAGGGGAATTTTGAAAAACGCGAAATTTCGCGTTTTTTGAACATTTTAAGACCCGCGTCTCCCCTTAAGTAGTCGTCACGACAAAAAATCTAAAGAAACAAAATAAATAGCCTCATGGTTGGCAGCAGCGTCATGAGGCCTCGCCGAGTCTGGAGTATAACGGTCTTGCAATTCTATATCTTGTGCATTCGTTCTTAGGTGCGTTTTGTTTTTTTTTCAACCACGCCGAATTTTGAAGTTAAGTCTCTCTCCCTTCTCCATTCCAACGCATTGTTAGTTATTTAATTAACAAATCACCTTCAAATAAGGGTTGAAGACGTTGTGGCGGCCCCTAGGGCAAATAAACGAAGAAAACAAACAAGGAACATTGCAAGCAGCCCAGCCGCTCCTTCTCTCAGCAATGAACATGCCGTCGGAGCACCCAAGGCTCCCTTCTTTGCTTTTATTTTTATTCACTTTGTAACTTCATTTTGTTGTTGGGTTTGACTGTTCTCGTCTCTGTAACAATGCTGTTGCAACCGTTGTCGTCATACGATTGCCGTTGCTTTCATAATGCGATGGTCTGGTCCGACCGATTAACCAAGTTTGTTAGAATAGTGTAACAAGGTATAAAAGGGCGGATCAAATAAAAAATAAATGTAAAGAAGCGCACAGCTCTGCTCGCTCAGCCCCCTTGCCACTTTATTCTTCCAGTGGCAAGCATCACAGTGCCATGGCATTTAAGGAAGGACACTGGCTGGAGATTAAACTTGTGAACTACTCAAGTGATCGGAATGAAATTGGCAGGGGAGATTTAACATAAGATGCAGGTGTATTGTGCAAGCTTTCAGCTCTCTAGGACAATTTTACATACCTGTATGAGATGTGTCACTCTTTGCTAAGAAATCAATGGTATGCGA